TATATATATATGTGGGTAATTATGAAGGGGACACATAACTTCTGGTAGAATGTGTGGGCGTGTCCCTCGATGATTGATTGACAGCTGTCCAATGTCAGGGAATTAGTCAGAGAGCGGAGCTTATAAAAAAGTTATATATTTGTCAGACTGAGTTTTAAAGTATAAAACAGAATGAGCAGAGAGTAAAACGAAGCTGACAGATATTTCTTTAACCAGCTGTCAGAAAAGATGATCCACAAAAAGATTCTGGATGAGGTGCGGAAGACCACTCTGGTGATCTTCAGAGACCCGGGTCGCTGCAGCAACAGCATCAATCAACAGCTGCATGTGTTGTGGCACAAATGAGACTGTTGTTGAGGCACAAATTGATCGGCCGTCAAAGAGCGCAGCTTGAAGCCCACAGCCTGAAGCTCCCAGGTCATTGCATGCAGCTCGAGGTGCGGCTCGGCTCATCTGTGCATTTTGCTGTCATCTATAGCTCACGGATGTTTTCTTACTTATGGGAATTAAACAATATTAACAGTAAACCTTTGTAGATTATGATCAGGATTAAAATAGATGTGATTTTGGTTAGTATTTTTTTTACAGCACCACCTTGACAATCCTTCTGACGAAGTGTCAGGTTTGAAGTTTATCATAAATATCTGCAAATTTATTTATTTATTTACCGTTGTTTAACCAGACAAGTCCTGTTGAGATCTCAGATCTCTTTTCCAAGGGTGGCCTGGGCCTGAAGGCAACATATTGTACATGTTTTTGGGGGTGGAGGAAACTGGAATACCCAGAGAATCACGAGGAGAACATGCAATTTCGGCACAGAAAGACCCCAGGTCTGAACCGGGGATCGAACCCAGGACCTTCATGCTGTGTGGTGTCGGTGCTAACCACTGAGCCGTCGTGCTGCCAGTTTAAATCCGATACAGGATTAGAAGATTTTAAACAAGGTCCTGGTGAATTAGGTGAGCTTTGGGTGGGTTAAATGACATATCTTGATCATTGATTTCACCAAAAATTTTAGCATTAGTACTGGAATTCAACTCTATTGCTCCAAACAGAGGCTGTTTGAAGAGCAGAGTGTTGGCCCAGCAGCTCCCTGTTGTAGAATTGTCTAAAAAGACAAAGGTTTGTCTGGATCCTGTAGAACTCTGTGAGTCATCTATTGACAGCGTCTGAACCTGGTTGATGCAATGAAGAAGGCATGAAACACATTTGAAATTCCTGTGTGGAAAAACCTTTTTAGTCAGTTGTGTTCTTTCAGGCCCAGTGGTCACCGAGGAGAAGATCCAGGAAGCCAAACTTTTCTTTCAGATGCATTTCAAACAAGCTGTGTTTGATGAAGAGAGCTGGAGGAAAATCCTTGAGGCAAGTGAAGATGTTTTTAATTATGAATTCTTTGTGAAACCACTGTTAGACTGATAATGTTTTTTCTCCTGTTTTAGACACATGATGGCCGCCTTCCCATCCGAATTAAAGCTGTCCCAGAGGGCAAGATCATCTCGAGAGGCAACGTCCTTTTCACTGTTGAAAATACTGACCCAAACTTTTACTGGCTTACTAACTATGTTGAGGTAAACTTTACTTCTACTGTGCTTTTAAAAATGTGACCCTAAAACAAATTTAAGTGAAAACTCTTAATTTAATACTGGCTTCTTTCAAATTTGTGAAACCAAATTCTAATTTAGTGAGTCTGTGTAAACTCAGCATTACTCTGCTTTAAAGTATTTGTGTTTATTTTCTCTTCCAAACCCACCACATCATGTTGGGGGTAGACTTTGCTGGTCCAGATGTGGTATCCTATCACAGTAGCCACCATATCTCGGGAATTTAAGAAAATCTTGGCCAGACACCTGAAAGCCACCTCGGGGAACCTGGAAGGTCTGGATCTAAAACTGCACGACCTTGGCTACAGAGGAGTTTCTTCTCAAGAGGTAAGCAGGATTATCTCTCTGTATGACTTATTTTGCTGATTAACACCCACTGCAGAAGTGTAATGGTGTTACTGGCTGTGTGTGCATTTGTTTGTTTCTTAGCTAAATATCTGGTGAATCCATGGAAAAAATTAATGAAAGTATTAGAACGTAATCTTTGGGTGCACTAGAGGGTACAGCTTTTTTTAACCATTTCATTGCTGTAAAATAACTGTAAATCGTGTGATGACTGGACCACTGTAGGTTCATTGGTAAATGGGGATGGGTAAAAAACCCAGGTGAGCGGGGTTCTCTTAAGTGTGCCCATTACTCTCCCCAAAGAGATGTAAGAAGGCGGGAAGCACCCGGATTGTGACTTGGAGGACGTGACTCTATGGTCAACTGGTAGATTACTAAACCAATGTTAAATAATCTAGGGATTCCCTATTACAAGTACTCAGGTAGGTCTGGCTCCAGAATGACAAAGGCAGAAATAGTTTACAAATTGTATTTCATTTATTTTTCCCAGTATTAAAAATAACTAGTTCACAAGATATTACAACGGAGGGGTAGTTCTGGTTGAATGGAACTGTAACAGTTCTAAATTGCTGGTTCTAAAGTGCTAAGTGCTGGTTCTAAAGTGCTAAGTGCTGGTTCTAAAGTGCTTATTCTAAATCTTAGCACCACGAGGCACTCACTTGAATCGGAAAAATAATTAAGCAACTACATGAGAGCAGTGAGGAACAATGAAAGTTTTGAATAAAATGCATACAAAAAGGTGAGAGCACAATATTGCTGCAGGAGCAATCTGCTGCAGACAAAATGACAATTAGTACCAATGCCTGTCCACAATGCAAACCAATAAAGATTCAAAAATAAAAAAACAGACATGTACCTTAATAATCAGTTACATCCCCCCAAACAGGTGGATTAACAGCTTCAATGCCACCCGCTACATAATGGCACATATCCTGAAAACAAATAAATATTTAGAGAGTGTCTAGCAAACATTTACCCCTTATAAAAACAAAACAGCAACAAGGTGCAGAGAGACCACGGCCGTAATCAGACATCCAAAGTACGTCAAAAAGTTAGCTAAATTGAACCCACAAACAGCCGCACATAATGATCAAAACACATTTACCTAAAAAAAAAAACGTCCTCATGAAGCCTGACCGGTTGCAAAATCTGAGGATCACGGTGCCAACGCTCACCCAGCAAAGTTGCCGACATGCCTGCAGCCACGCGTAAAGCGTCCAATCACCAGCTAACGCCCTTTGTGCATGAAAAACCTGGCGTGCGCACCAGGAGCCTAAATACTAATTAGCCAGGCAGCACCGTCACCAGAAAGTGGAAGGAGGGGCAAAAGGTGCATTCACGAACCCCACTCCGGTGGGAAATCACAGCGACCACAAAGATACTCCCTGTAACCAAACCACCCGGTTACAGAGACACTGAGCTTTTAATCAAACCTTTGCATCCGTCGAAAGAAGGACACCCAGTTAGAAACACTCTGTTCTGAGCTTCTCAGGATCCGTAAAGGGTTCCCCAAGAATTCCTTTCCTTTGACTACTCAGAGCCATGCAGTGGCCTAAGTAGTGCAAAGAGGTCTGTAGTTCAATGCCACAGGCATCACACAGACCATTTTCGTGATATCCCATCACCATTTTATGGCAAGTGAGCAMGTGCCCAGTTAGGACTCCAACCAGAGTACTTAAAATTTTCCTTTTCAGGGCAAGAAGGGCATTTCCAAACCAAGGATTTGGGCCATTTATCAGTTCTTGTGCCTGTCTACAGTCCATCAGCTCCCTCCAACGTATTGAGTGTTGTTGTCTAAAGACTGGTTTGTACTTCTTGTCGCACGTCTTTTACCCCCCACTGAGTGACAAAAAGTTGCACAACCTCCGTCTGCTCTCCCGCTGCGATCCCCTGGTGACAGCTATCGTAACATTGCCCCCAGTCAGCACTCCAAGATGCGGAGGTTGCGACTCGGGAGCATGTGATTGGTTCAAAATTAGCGTTTTTGTTTGGATGTCAGTATATGCTGTGTCACACCGCTACTCACTTCCAGAGGCTGGTTTTTGTTTCTAAACATGGATAGTTTCGAAGAGAAACTCACCAAGGTGGTCCGACGGTATAACCATCTGTAACTCCTCTACTGCGTTGGTGCGTGCTGAAGGTGAGGGGAGATCCGATGGGCAAGTTCGTCGAAATGAGCAGTGGACATTCGAAAATAGAAGTGTTTTTCGTCATCCATCTCCCGCATCTGTTGGACCAACAAGTTAAACTTGCAACTAGCAGTTATTTACATGCTAAGCAATGCACGTGACGTACGCAGTGAGAGGGCAGAGGGAGGGATTACTATAATGTATCCCCTACTTCTTTTCCCAGTGTAAACACTGTGCTGTTGGTGACACACATGCAATTATGTCATCGCTGGGCCGCAGCTGCACGTCTTGCATGAAGTATAAACAAAGCTTAATTCATGCCTGTAGGGCAGTCCTACAGATTGTTGTTGAAATGCCTAAAGCAGGCTCTTGGGTTGGATTTATAAAACTGACGTACGCACAATTTGAGCCCAGAAACTTGCGAATGCCACTTTTTACGCCAAGGTTGTGATTTATAAAATCCAAACTTGACGTGAAAATGTGCGGTGCCTCACGCCAGCTCTGACCCATGTGTACGCTCATTTTGGAGACGGGAAACTGCGGTACAGATGGTGAAGTGAAGAATTAGAGCCACACTGTGTAATGATCACTTGTCAGATATTTAATTTACCTTCATCAGACTTAGATTTTTATTCAACTTTATCATCAGCTTTACTAACAGTAATACTGTATTTATGCTTCTGCTGCTGAGCCATGAGGACCTTTGAAATAAAAAAAAAAAACTTAAATCTTAAATAAAAGTTCCCGTGCGCATCTCCCTTCATCTGTTTACTCCTCAGACGACCCTGACCCACAGAGCCCTCCCCGACAAGAACAGCAGGACAGCAAAAGTCATGCTTTAGATACACGCGCAGGGCGCATCCACCTCGCCAGTGTGAATGTTATAAAATTTCACGTTTAAAGTCCGTGTTTGTCACGCGTGGGGGGGATGCGTGCGTGTGTGTGTGTGAGGCGCGGGACGGGGGTGTCTGCCACGGATAACAGAGCAGGCAGGAAGGGGAGACGACGAGAAGAAGAGGGGTGGACTTGCTTTTAATTTTATCAGACTTATTTAATTTAATTTTTATTATTTTTATCATCCTGCAGGCTCTGGGAGAAAATTAATTTGAAGCTGAGATTTTAAAAAAAAATGTTAGATTGCTCTAAAGCAAATTGAGGGAAAATCTGTGTCAATTACAGACAATCTGTTCACGTGAGCAGCTGTCAGTCAGCACCTGTCAACCTCCAGACTCACGACGGAGCGTGTCTGA